GGAGGAGGAGGAGGAGGAGGAGGAGGAGGAGGAGGAGGACGAGGGACGAGACGAGGAGGAGGAGGAGGGAGGAGGAGGAGGAGGGAGGAGGAGGAGGAGAGCAGGAGGAGGAGGAGGAGGAGGAGGAGGAGGAGGAAGAGGAGGAGGAGGAGGAGGAGGGAGGGCGCAAGCCGTCGTGGAGGGGGGGGGATGGCGGGCAGGCGAGCCGCTGGCCATGTGCAACGCAATGCTGCTGCTGGCGGAGCTGGGCGCCGAGGCGCCCCCCCCCTCCCGGCGCGGGGCTGCTTCGCCACCCGCTCCCCGCCCATCCGCCCATCCATTCCGTCCGTTCGCCCCCTCCCCATCCATCCATCCATCCATCCCTCATCCCTCCTTCCCTCTCCTGTTCGTGTTCATTCGCTCTCTGCCTCCCTGTCCCTATGCTTGTGTGTGTGTCTCTCTCTCTCTCTAAATGTATGTATAGCTGTAGGTATGAATATACAGATATATATGTATATAGGTGTGCATGCGTTAATGTATGTATGCACGCATGCATGCATGCACGCATGTATGCATACGCGCATGTATGCATGTATGTATGTATGTATTCACGGTTATGGATTCGTGTGTGTACGTGTTCGACAATGTGGTCTGTACGAGCGGCGTGTTTGACAATGTGGCTGCTTTGCATGTATGGATGAATGTATAATTTCATTCACATGTGTATATAGTTATGTGTGTATGTGTGAGTGTATGTATGCATACATGCAAGCATGCATGTATGCATGTAGGCAGTAGTTCATATGTGTGTATGTATGTAAAGATGCATGTATGTGTGTATGTATGTATGCATGTGTATGTGTGTTTACATGCATGCATGCATGTATATGCATGTATAGGTGTACGTATGTATGTACGTATGTACGTATGTATGTACATATGTATGTGTATGCGTGCAGGTATGTGTTTGTGCATGTATATGTGTATGCACGTGTGCACGCCGATGTGTGTATGTATATATACATGTGTATGTGTGTGTGTGTGTGCAGGTAGGTATGTGTTTGTGTATGTATATGTGTATACGCATGTGTAGCTGTAGATGTATATGTGGATGCAGACGTAGCTGTAGATGCATCTGCAGGTGACTATGTATATGTAGATGTGGGTGTAGATGTATCTGCATATGCAGATGTCGATGTAGATGAATATTGAGATTTACATGTAGATGTAGGTGTATATGCATTTGCATGTGCATGTGTATGTGTATGTGTATATGCATAGGTAGATACATGCGTCTGTGTACATGCTTGTGTGCTTGTATGTGTATAGGTGTAGGTGCATGTGTTTGTGTATGCATGTGTACCGGGAAGTTGATCTGTATATGTATAGGCATATGTGTGTGCTTTCATATGTAGATACATCTGTACACGTATATGTATACATGCGTGTATGCATGCATGCATGCACACATACTTACAGACAGACATCCAATGCTGGGGTGCGGGGGATCCGGGGCCCGGGCCCGGACATCTTCCCAGATTTTCCCCCCTCCGGTGGCCCACGATGTTCTCGACCCCCTCTGGGGCCCCCCAGACCTCCCCCCCGCTGCTCCAAACAGCTCCGGAGGCCACCAAAAAGCGACCAGAGCTTGTTTTTTTTGGATCCGGGCAAGTTTTTTTGCATGGACGGGGGGGGGCTGAGTCTGAAGCAGGCCGAAAACAATTCGACGTGCGGAAACCACGCAAGTCGAAAGACACTTGCACGCTCGTGTTCGATTGAAGAGGAGCGAGGAGGGGCGAGGGGGGGGGGGGGGGGCGAACGCCATGCAAGTAAGCTTGCCGGGATATAAAGAAACAGGCACCCAGAGTAGCCTGACAGGACCGAAGCCGCCCAAATATTGCCTCAATACGGCCCAAGAGGCCCCGAAGACTTCCTAAGAAGGCTCCGGGATGCGCCCCGAAAGGGCCCGAGTATTCCAAAATTGCTCCATCTCCAAAGGGAAACGTGCATAAGCAGCATATTCGAACGTTTGGTCTCAACAGCGTCAAAATCGGCCCAAGAGGCCCCATAGATCGCCCCAGGAGGCCCCCAAGAGGGCCCAAGGACAGCCCAGGAGACCCCAAATTGTCCAAGAGGCTCCCAAGACAGCCCAAGCATGTTGGCTCGAGGGGGTGTCTTACTGAGGCAAGCTTTGTTTTTCTCAGCCCGAGAGTCAAGCGCAACCCCCTGGGTCGCCGGACGCTCCCCAGGAGAAGTCATGACGGCCCCCCGCGGTGTGAGGCTGGCGCTGGCCTGTGCCGCACTCCTCGCGCGGGCATCGACGGCGCGGCCCGGCGCGGCGCTGCCGCCAGCAGAGGAGCACGCGCGCGCCCCCGATCCCTACGGGATGTTCGACAACTCGCCGATCCTCCTGCTGAAAGCCTGTGGGCGAGGAGAGCAGGAGCTGCTGATGGGCGAGATCGAGGATCACCCTTGCACGCTCATCGACCAGGTCGGGAAGGAGGGCGCGTGCTCCGTGACGGCCGTCATCTGCCCAAAGCCGCTGCACTTCGAGCATGCCGCCGCCGAGGTCTTCAGGGATGATGCCGGAGCGTACCTGCGAGGCGCCGGCCTCCCGCGGGCTTGGGACCGCCGCTCTCAGAGGAGCGACGATTTCTACGCGCAGTGGCGCAGCTACGACGACATCCTCACCAGTCGGGGGAGCGTAAGACCCGGGTTTGCCGGGACTCGGGTTCGCCATCGTTTTTTGACGACCGCGACTCGGATTTTGACGAGGAGGAGTTTCGTGGGATGTCTGCAGCGGGAGGCCTCGTCAAAATGCAGGCTCGGCCTCGTCATTTTTTTGACGACCTCGTCGGGGATTTCCGAGTCCCCCGTACCCGGGTCTTACGTCTCCCCGAACCAGGCTCCAGGACGTGGTGGATGCCGCGCCCGGCGTGGCCGTGCTGGAGAGCCTCGAGCCGGCCACCCACGAGGGGCGCGTGATCAAAGCCGTGCGCATCCGTGACCCTGCATGGGCGCCAGGGGCACCGAGGATCGTTGTCAATTCCCTTCTGCACGCCCGCGAGTGGATCGCGTCGATGGTCGGCACTTACCTGGCGGAGTACTGCGTGGACAAGAAGAGGAGCGACCCGAGCTGGATGGCTGGGATGGAGCTCGTCATCGTGCCAGTTGTCAACCCAGATGGGCTCGTTTACTCACAAACTTCGAATGCGATGTGGAGGAAGAACAGGGCCGTGAACGCGGGGTCTTCCTGCCGAGGTGTCGATCTGAACCGCAACTGGCCCAAGGACTGGAACGGCGGCGAGTCGACGTCCACGAACCAGTGCAGCGAGACCTACGTGGGTCCCTCGTGGGCTTCGGAGCCCGAGACGCAGGCGCTCGGGGCTGTGCTGCTCGAGGCCCCTGTGAATCTGCACCTGGACATCCACTCCTATGGAGAGATGATCCTGGGACCCTGGTCGTACACGAACGCCGATCATCCCGACAAGGCCACAATCGACGCCATTGGAACGGCTATGCAGAGCGCCATACAGAGCGTCAACGGGAAGTCCTACCTCTACGGCACCGGCGATGCGGGCGGAGCGCTCTACCTCGCCTCCGGCGTTGCGCCCGATTTGTCCACCCACTTGGGCGCTTACGGCTACACGATCGAATTGCCGCCTGCCGACGCATGGGGCAGTGCTGGTTTCCAGCCTGCCACTTCGGAGATACTCCCAGCGTGCACCGAGATCTTCGAGGCCGTCAAGGCGATGGTGGAGTGGTTCAGGGTTCAGGATCCGACTCCAGCTCCCCCCACCGTGCCTCCAACACCAGTGCCGCCACCGACGCCAGGGCCGATGTGTGGCGAGAAGGGCCCCGACGACACTTCCTGGGACACGCGACGCGGCGAGCGAATCGTGGGAGGGCAAGACGCCACGCCATGCGAGTGGAAGTGGCAAGTCTCCCTCGCGCACCCGAGCTGGGGGCACTTCTGCGGTGGAACTCTGATTGCCCCGAACTGGGTCCTGACAGCTGCCCACTGCATGGGGAACTCTTTCGTCGTCGTGGCGGGCAGCTACAGACAACTTGCGACAGATGCGACAGAGGTGACGTTGACAGTGAAGCAAGTCTATTCGCATGAACTTTACGACTCAAGCGAAACATCGCACGATTTTGCCCTAGTGGAGCTGGATAGCGACGCGCCCATGGACGATTGCATTGGAGTAGCATGCTTGCCAACCGAGGACGTCGCTGTCGGTGAGGAGTGCTTCATCACCGGCTGGGGTACCGTCTCCTCGGGAGGATCATCCCCTAACAGGATGCAGGAGGCGCAAGTGACCATCTACAGCAATGCAGATTGCGCTGCGGCATACAGCAACTTTGGCTGGGCGATCACCGATGACATGCTGTGCGCGCACGGCACGAACGGCAACGGCGAAACCACCGACGCTTGCCAAGGAGACAGTGGCGGGCCGCTCGTGTGTGCTTCTGGCAGCGATGCCTACACCCTGCATGGAGCCACTTCTTGGGGCTACGGGTGCGCCGTGACAGGTTACCCGGGAGTCTGGAGTCGAGTCAACTTCGTGCGCGATTGGGTCTACGACGTGATGGGGACCACTCAGGCCCCAACTTTACAGCCTACGCCGGCTCCGCCGACGCCAGCTCCGCCGCCGACGCTGGCGCCTACGCCGACTCCAACGTCAGCTCCTACCCCATCTCCGCCGACGCCACCCTGGGACTACATGTGGCTTTCAGTTACTGGCCCTTGCAGTCTAACTGGGGACTGTGTGCAGAGCCCGAACTATCCACGCAAATATCAGAATAATCAGGCGTGCGCAATTGAGGTATACCTGAAAAACGTAGGGGCGATCTCCGTGGAGAGATTCATCACAGAGAGTTATTTTGACACGCTCACCGTCAACGGAGTGGCCTATTCTGGCAGAAACGGTCCTGATGGAATAACCCCGACCAGCACCGTCTATTGGAATTCCGATTACTCCGTGAGGGGCAGAGGGTGGAAATTGTGCAAAACACCAGAGCCAACGCCGGTTCCAACACCGCCTCCACCAGTTCCAACACCGCCTCCGACTCCACCGGCCTGCATCAATGGCGGCGGCTGGGGGCGGCGGCGGCGGAGCTGTGGTCCAAACTGCGGTGGCCGCGGTCGGCGGCGGCGGACTTGCCCGGTCCGGCGGTTGACTGAACTGAGTGGACCCGAAGTCGATGAGCACGAGGGGATCGATGAGCTGATGGTAGTGGCCACGCCGGCGCCCGCTCTTGTGGCCCAGATCCCGCAGATCCCGCAGAGTTCCGATGCTGATATCTTTTACCCGTAGACTGCTTGCACTCAGCTGTTTTCGGCGGAACCAGTCTGGGCTGGCTGCGTATACCAATCTAAGCAAGTCACCGCATCTGCCTCGAATAATATATGTACCGAATCTAATCAGATGGTTCACCTATATCAGCGTGAACAAGGACGCTCCCTGGAGAAAACACTCGGCCGTGGCGAGGTCGCGAAGTAAGACGCCGTAGGTCGTGAAGTTGAATGGTGCAAAAGGGGTGGGGAGGTGGTGGGGGGTGGCTCGTGGTTGTGAGAGGAGCTGAGGAGCTCGGTTAGAAGTACTAATTACCCTGTGCCTGCCACCCGCCGCTGGAAATGCGGCCGCGACTGGTTTGCAAGCGTCGGTGCCGCCGTTTTGCGGGCATTGGCCTCGCCGCTGTACATTAGTTCGACCTGGAACCTTCGCTTCCTCTCATGGCATTCTCGCGCTCCTCATCCTCTGCAGATATTCGATGAAGTGATAAGGTCATACACCTCTACTTTGGGGGCTCCGCGCTGAACTCGTAGATTCGTAGATCGGTGCTGGACCCTCACGCCAGCCTGCTGAATCTTTTGCGGCGGGCCTCTTCCAGCGCTAAGCCTCGCAGGTTTTCCGCGGCCGCACTCGCGACAGCACAAGAGCAGCGGCATGCTGCGCGCGCCGCCCCTGGGGGCACCTCGCGCCGCCCGTCCCCGAGAGAGCAGATGCCCGGTCGTACGATGCTGGTGCTTCGCGTCGGTTCCGAGTGCGAGTTGTTTCTTTCGAGGGAGGCCACGAGGGGGGTGCTGCCTTGGGGGGAGGGAATATCTTGTTAGCCTGACCATTTTGAATGGCCAGCTGAGAGGGCACCCACCAACTTAACATCTGACTACGTCTGCCTTTTTCCATTGGCCTGGCCGCTCTGCACTGACGTGCTTCGGCGACGCATCCCTGACGCGGCAGCTGCCGGGCAAACAAAAAAAAAAAAAACAGCCCAAGAGGGGTCCACGAGGGGGAAGTCCCAGTGACGATTCGAGCTCTCCGCTCCCTCTGGGCCCCCGGGCCAGCAGGCCACAAGAGGGCTCCAAATGAGGCCCCAAGAGGGGTCCAAATGAGGCCCCAAGAGGCCCCCAAATGGCCCCCACGAGGCCTCAAGAAGCTTCACAAGTCGTTCCACCAGGCGCCCGAGAAGCATGCCAACATACCCCGAATTACAGGCGTCCAAGAATCCTCTGGCCCAAAACTCAGGCACGTGAGCAATTGGTGTAGCGCAGGGCATGGGCCGAAGGCCATAGATAGGCAAGCAATTGGTGTAGCGCAGGGCGCGGGTCTCTCTTCACACATTGCGCGCATTTTGACCCCCTCCGGGGCCTCCGGGGCCCCCCCCTCCAGCCCTCCGGCGGCTCAGAACAGTTTTTGGCGGGCGCGCAACCAGAGCAGCGCAACGACGTCGACGACGCCCCAAGAATTGTTCAGCACTGCCCAAGGGGCACCCAAGGCCCCGAGAAATCTGCAAGATGCTCCGCGAGAGGGCCCCAAGACCCAGACTGCCACCTTCCCTGTGGGAAACCGTGCGTTTCCAGCATGCTCGCATTGGGGGTCGAAACGGCGTCCATGACGGCCCAAGAGGCCCCCAAGATCGCCCCAAGAGGCCCCCAAGAAGGCCCCAGGACGGCCCAAGAGAGCTCCGAGACGGTCCAAGAGGCGCCCAGGAGGGGTCCAAGGGAGGAGGAGGAGGAGGAGGAGGAGGAGGAGGAGGAGGAGGAGGAGGAGGAGGAGGAGGAGGAGTATGGGGAGGAGGAGGAGGAGGAGGAGGAGGAGGAGGAGGAGGAGGAGGAGAGGTCCCCCACCGACATCTCCAGCCCTGCGCCACGGGGGGGCCCCCGAGACCACAGGCAGACGCCCAAGAGGCCCCCAGGAGGCCCCCAAAGAGGCTCCGAGGGGCCCCCACACGTCAGGAGGGACAAAAGACACACAGACACAATTGTTCGTCGATTCTCAGAAAATATGGGAAAATATGGGAAGTGGGGGGGGAAGACAAAAACCCAGAAAATATGGGAACATGTGGGACATCTTTTTACTTGTGTGTATTTCTTTGTGTGCCCCAGGGCCCCTTCAACACGGCCCTCCCAGGGAGACCCCGAGTTGCAGGCGTCCAAGAAGCCCCAGGCCCCAAACTCGGGCGCATTCGCGGCACGAGCCGCAGGCCATATAGAGAAGCGAGCAAGCGGCTCGGCGGCGGACACGTCCCCTATGCAATGCTGCGTGCCCCAGGGCGCGGGCCTCCTTTTTCCTACGCGGCGCGCCGCGGGGGCAGTGCGGGAAGGCGGGCTGCTGCGGAGCACGCGTGCACGGGTGCGCTGAACTCCCTCCTCCTCCTCCTCCTCGATCCTCCTCCTCCTCTTCCTCTTCCTCCTCCTCCTCCTCCTCCTCCGCGTGAAGGGTGCGCCGAATGACTCGGATGCCCCCGCGCGACCACGCCCGTCGAGGCCGCGGGTGGACCTCCTTGGGCGCAGACCGTGGAAGAGGCATCTTCCGAAGTGGGCGTGGGGGGGGCGTCGTGCGAGGCTGCTCGCGGTTGCCAGAGGTGCAGCTCCTTCTGGGGCACGAATCGGCGTCCCCCAACATACTTCTACTACATGTGCGTCACCCCCCCGGGGGCGATGCGCGCCCCGAGAAATCTTATAGCATATGCGTCGTGGCGGGCGCATCCTGGCCACACCGCTCGGGAAACGATACACCACAAGATGGGTATACTATATGTTTGGGTCGGACGCGCGCCTCCAAGGAGAACACATAGTACTAGCATGTCTTTGTGCATCCCAGCATGAATCGCGTGATGGGTGTGCCGACATTGGCGGGGGGGGCGCGGCACGAACCGTGTTTCTGGGCCTTTAGGTAGCGTTCTTTGTGTGCACAATCCGCGTGATGGGGTGTGCCGCAATGGTCGGGGGAGCGCATTGCGAACCCTGCCTCTGGGGCCATGGGTGGAGATCCGTGTGGGCCACGATCCGTGCGAGAGGTGTGCCGAAGTAGGCGGGTGGGGGGCATGCGAACCTTGCTTCTGGGGTGTGCCGAAGTAGGCGGGTGGGGGGCATGGGAACCTGCGGGCCACGATCCGCGTGAGAGGTGTGCCGAGGTAAGTCGGGCGAATCTATGACGCTTCCATCTCGTGCCGCAAATCCAGCTACTAGCTGGGCACGATCCGTGTGAGGGGCGTGCCACTATGCCAACCTTGTCTCTGGGACGTAGGTGGAGATCCCTATGGGCGCGATCCCTTCAAGTGATGTGCCAGCAAGGGCGGGGGGACGCTAAGTCAAGCCTGTATATGGGGCCGTCGGTGGAGTTCCCGGGGGGGGGGCACGATCCGTGTAACATTGTATGTCCTCTGACGCCGAACACTTTAACCTACAACCAGAACTTGCTAGAACCTGAGCGCGCGCGAAGCGCACGCGTGTTTCTAGTATACGTATACTGTTTGTGTACCCATATATATACACAGTCCGCGCTCTCTCACTCTTTCTCTGTATATATATATACGTATCGTTGTGCTGTTGTCTCTCTCACACTCTCTCTCCCTCCCTCTCTCTCTCTCTTTCTCCCTCGCCCACTCCTTCCCTACATACTTACATACACATGCATCTACACCTTACATCTACATATATTTATATATATACATATATATATATATATATATATATATATGTATGTACCTATGCATGTACACGCAGATCCCTCTCCGACACACTATATGTCATTCGCTCTCTCTCTCTCTCTCTCTCTTTCTCTCTGGCTTTTGTGGAATGCCTCTTCCTCTCCGTTTCCTTCATTTCCTTGTTGATTCACGTCCTTTATTCCCAACCATCATGTGGTGTTGGGTCCTCGTTTTGAAGAGACGGTCCCCGCGTTCCATCGCGTTCCTTCCTCCTCCCGCCTCCTTCCTCCCCCATCCTCCCCCATCCTCCCTCCTCCCTGGGGAGCTCAACCGAAGGTCCCAGTGGGACCGCCCGCATGCGTCAACCACCACCCAGCACAGCCCGTCCTCCCTGCGTTTCACCCACCCAGTACAACGTTGCGTGGCCACATAGGGAGCTCCACCGAAGGTCCCAGTGTCACCGCCCGCATGCATCAACCACCATCTAGCACAGCCCTTCCTCCCTGCGATTCACCCACCCAGTCCAGCGTTTCGTGGCCACAAAGGGAGCGTCACCGAAGGTCCCAGTGGCACCGCCCGCATGCGTCAACCACAACCCAGCACAGCCCTTCCTATCTGCGTTTCGCCCACCCAGTAGAACGATGCGTGGCCCCAAAGGGGACTCCACCGAAGGTCCCAGTGGGACCGCCCGCATGCGTCAACCACCACCCAGCACAGCCCTTCCTCCCTGCGTCAACCACCCAGTACAGCGCTCCGTGGCCCCATCGGGAGCTCCACCGAAGGTCATAATGGCACCGCCCGCATGCGTTAACCACCCAGCACAGCCCTTCCTCCCTGCGATTCACCCACCCAGTGCAGCGTTTCGTGGCCCCATCTGGAGCTCCACCGAAGGCCCCAGTGGCACCGCCCGCATGCGTCAGCCACCACCCAGCACAACGCTTCGTGGCCCCATAGGGGGCTCCACTGAAGGCTCCGATGGCACCGCCCGCATGCGACAGCCACCATCCAGTACAGCGCTTCGTGGCCCCATAGGGAGCTCCACAGAAAGACCCTGGTGGCACCGCCCGCATGTGTCGTCCACCATCCAGTACTCCATTTTGGGGCCCCATTGATTGGGAGCTCCACTAAGCCCCAGTGGCACCGCCCGCATCCTGTTTCGCGGCCCCGTAGGGAGCTCCAGCGGCACCGCCCGCATGCGACCCCACATCCAGTGCAGCGCTTCGTGGGCCCATAGGGAGCTCCACTGGAGGCCCCAGTGGCACCGCCCGCATGCGCCCCCCCCTCCCAGTACACTGGCACCGCCCGCATGCGCCGGCCACTACCCAGTACAGCGTTTCGTGGCCCCGTAGGGAGCTCCACAGAAAGACCCCAGTGGCACCGCCCGCGCGCGCCTCCCTCAACCAGTACAGCGTGTTTCGTGGCCTCATCGGGAGCTCTCCAGCGAAGGGCACCGCCCGCATGCGTCCGCCACGCCCATTACAGCGTCTCGTGGCCCATAAGGGGCCCCACCGAAGGCCCCAGTGGCACCGCCCGCATGCGTCTCCCCCACCCATTACGGCAAGTCCCTCACGCGTTTCGTGGCCCTGTAGGAAGCTCCACCGAAAGCGGCATGCACAACGCGTTACTCACAAATGCACATGGTTGAGTCCTTCGCCAGGATATTTTTTTGGCGACGACCCTCTTCCTTCCGGAGGCCAGGTAGACGGAACCCGAATGAGAAAATGACAGAAGGAGCAGGAGGAGGAGACGGAAAAGGACGAGGGGGAGAAGCAGGAAGAGGAGGAGGAGGAGGATCAGGAGTAAGAGCAGGTCGCCGATGATAATAATGAAATCCTCAATGATCATGATGATGATGATGATGATGATGATGATGATGATGATGGTGGTGGTGGTGGTGGTGGTGATGAGGATGAGGATGAGGATGAGGATGAGGATGAGGATGAGGATGAGGATGAGGATGAGGATGAGGATGAGGATGATGATGATGATGGTGGTGATGTTGATGTTGATGTTGATGTTGATGTTGATGATGATGATGATGATGATGATGATGTTGGTGATGATGATACTGGTGATGGTGATGGTTATGGTGATGATGATGGCGGTGGTGGTGATGATGCGGGTGATCTCTTAGGATGATGATGTTGATGCAGCTGCTGCTGCTGATGATGGTGATGATGATGGTCTTGGTGTTGGTGTGAGTGATGGTAGGATGATGATGATGCTGCTGATGATGATGATGATGATGATGACTGTGACTGCGATGGTGACGGTGATGGTTGTGACGGTGATGGTGATGGCGATGGTTATGATGATGGTGATGATGATGACGATGGTGATGGTGATGATGGTGATGATGGTGACGATGGTGATGGTGATGATGGTGACGACGACGACGACAACAACGATAACGATGTTGATGATGACGACGCCGATGCTGCAGATGATGATGATGATGATGATGATGATGATGATGATGATGATGTTGCTGATGATGATGATGCTGTTATCGAAGATGATGTTGCTGATGATGCTCATGATGATAATGCTGGTGCTACTGCTGATGCTGATGATGATGATGATGATGATAGTGGCGATGATGTTGTTGATGATGATGATGATGATGTTGATGCGGGTAAGGCTGTTGTTGTAGATGCTGATGAGGATGAGGATGAGGATGATGGTGACGACGAGGAGGAGGATGATTATGATGCTCATGATCATGATGATGATGATGGTGATCGTGATCATGATGATGTTGATGATGCTGATGATGCTGATGATGATGCTGATGACGACGACGATGGCTACGACGACAATCATGATGATGATGCTGAAGACGATGATCATTACGATGATGATGATGATGATGCTGATGATGATGGTGATGATGATGATGCTGCTGATGCTGATGTTGGTGATGATGATGGTGGTGAAGATGATGCTGATGATGCTGCTGACGATGATGACGATGATGATGAAGATGAAGATGAAGAGGATGATGACGAGGATGATGAAGATGATGATGATGCAGATGATGATGAGCCTATACATCATGCCGAGGAGGACTAGGATGAAGACGACCACGACGAAGTGGGGGAGGAGAAGGTCAAGGAGTCGGAGGGGCGGGCAGAGGAGACGGTCGACGTCGACGAAGAGGACGAGGAACCCGCAGGCCCTTCCCCGGGAGATGGTGCCGCGCCTGTTGGACCTCTTCTTGGCGCTGCCTGACCGAGCTGAGGACTTGGTAGAGGCGGCCAGGAGGGGGGCGGTGGGGGGGCGAGAAGGGGGAAAAGGAGGAGGGCAGCAACAGCAAGGGCTCCCACGAGGGCGCGAAGTCATTCGCGCTTCGCGCCTCGCGGTCCTCATTCCTTCTCCCCGTCCTCGTTCTCCTTCTCCTCCTTTGGGGGAGCGGCGCGAGAGCGCGAAGTCATTCGCGCTCTCGCACCTCGCAGAGCGCGCGAAGCGCGAAGTTGGGGGCCCTGGAACAGACCGTGCGCGTCGACCGCTGCGAGCTTGTTGACCGCCAAGGCCTCCAGCCTCGGCGCCGCCGTTCCAGTCCAGCTCGACGGGCACCGGCACACTGGCCCGAGTCGAGTTCGGTGCATGAGGATTGGGGCCTTGTGCACTGCAGGCCTTCGTTTGGAGGGTTTCTCCCAAGGGCTTAGGCGAGCCGTCCTCCTCCTCCTCCTCCTCCTCCTCCTCCTCCTCCTCCTCCTCCTCCTCCTCCTCCTCCTCCTCCTCCTCCTCCTCCCTCTCCCCCTCCCTCTCCTCCTCCTCCTCCTCCGCCTCCTCCTCCTCGCCCCCTCCTCCTCGGGTCGCCTACGGCCCCGGGGGAAACCGTCCACCTTCGTTAAGGGCCACACATGCCCTCTGGGAGCGGAGGGTCGATGTGATGTGGGGGAGCGGAGGGGTATAGCTGAAAGGGGGGCCATCCTTGCCACACCCAGGCGCTGCAGCATACTCTTGAATCTCTGCTGCTCCCGACTGTCTTGCGTATATCTGGGTTCTCGCCGACGCGCGTTGCTGCAGTACCAGGACCTGACCTGTTATCTCATCGACCGCTGCGCTCCGACCAGTCGTTTCTCGGATCGTTGCCACCCAAGGGCGACGGCTCAAGCAAGCCTACGTTTGTCCAACGTAAAAGGAGGAGGAGGTGGAGGAGGAGGCGGAGGAGGACGAGGAGGAGGAAGAGGGGCAGGCGGAGCAGGATAGTGAGGCCGAGGAAAAGGAGGAACGAGGAGGACGAGGAGGACGAGGAGTACGAGGAGGAGGAGGAGGAGGAGAGGGAGGGGGCGGAGGAAGAGGAGGAGGAGGAGGAGGAAGAAGAAGAAGAAGAAGAGTGTCGATATGAGGAGGGTAATGAGGAGAAAGAGAAGGAGGATGATAAGGAGGACGGGGAGCAAGGGGGGAATAATAAAGAAGAGACATGCGCGACGTATAACAATGGCGTCGTCGTCACCGACTGGCGCGAAAGCTGCCCGCGTAAGTTCGCGCGGAAGCACCCTCGTCTCGAATGCAGCGTGCCGCGCTGGAGGGGATGGAGCGGGATGGGGAGGGAAAGGGGGAGAAGGATGGGCCAGGGGGGGGGTCTTAGACTAGAGAGCGAGGAGACACTCGAGGAGTACGAGCGTGTCTGCCCGCTCCGTCTCCTCCTGCTTCCCATGCCAGGTGCGACGGGGGGCTCGGAGCCCTCGCCCTCTCTCGAAGAGAAGGGGGCGCGGCACAGACAGACAGTTTCCGAGCTCCGAACTGGTAGGCTTGCGCCGCTGTCTTCTTCTTTTTCTTCTTCTTCTTCTTCTTCTTTTTCTTCTTCTTCTTCTTCTTCTTATTCTTCTCTGCGGCGAGCGGGGGGGGGAAGTGAGAAGGAGAAGGCCCTCTCAGAAGGCGGCGGGGCTTCTCAGAAGGCCTCGCACCGTCTGAGAGGGTTCTGTTGTGCCTCCGAGGAAGGCTCAGAAACCCTCTCGGAAGGCCGGTGGATTTCCAGGCCTTCTGAGAAGGCCTTTCCCTTCTCACTTCCCCCCCCTTCGCTCGCCGCCAAGAACTGGTATGCTTATATCATGGCGCCAACATCGCAGAGCGGATTTCGTCAAGTCAGGCGGGCCTCTCTTCAGGAGGAGTACTCAAGAATAGGAGGAGGAGGAGGAGGAGGAGGAGGAGGAGGAGGAGGAGGAGGAGGGGAGAGGAGGAGGAGGAGGAGGAGGAGGAGGAGGAGGAGGAGGAGGAGGAGGAGGTGACGATTTTTCGTGCTCGTTTGACTGTTTCGGGTCGTTGTTCGACTCTTGCAGAATCCGCCTGCCGGAGGACATGCCCAGCCTGACGCCAGGGCCCCGTCTCATCGCGCGGGAGTTGCCGGGAGCACACGGCTCCAGAGATCGGACCTGCGGCGCCTCGTTTTGGGGGGTGCTGCCACGGAGGGTCGTCGTCTCCCTGGACGGGGGCACGCCGAGGAGCTTTTGAATGGGTCTTGGCATCGATGGATGGTTGGTGTTTATCAGATGCTCGTCGGTCGCTGGAAGGAGATTAATGATAAATTAGGGGAACGAAAAGTGACATAAACATAAAAACTCGGAGGTCCACGCGGATTTCTCGGATCGGCGCTCGGGCCCCCCGGCGACGCCTCCGGCGCCGCCCCCGGCGCGCTCCGCGCTCCAGGGAGGCGGGTCCAGCGCCGATCCGAGAAATCCGTGCGGACCTCCGAGTTTTTATGTTTGGGTCACTTTTCGTTCCCCTATAAATATGTTCGGGAGCATCAGGCCCTGCTGTATGTCATGCACCTGCACATTTCGAGGATCGAATGTTCTTCCTTCGTCTGTCCTCCTTCGGGTGCGGGGCGAAGTGCAATATGCCTGAAACGCCTTCCTACCTGATGCTTCTACCTCTACCTGGCTCTTCCGAGCGACCTGCAGTGCAATCTTCGGGTCTGCGCCACCTCCTGAGACTTGCGGGTTCAGTGGACAACGTAAAGTGGAGACCCATGCCACGAAACACCTTGCTTGCCTCCAGGGTGCCCTGGGTTTCGTGAGTTCCGATGGTTTTGCGATGAAGAGCGCGACGTTCCCAAACCAAAGATCCAGGGACGTCCTGGGGTCTCAGGGCTGGGTTTCTTTTGGAGGGGTTCTTGTGGACTGGCCTCCACTGTGTAGCGTTCGCAGGGAAATTGCACCGACCGTCAACGCTCCATGATCGATCGCTTTCACACCAGGGACTCGTTCTCTTTAGGCAGAGAGGGCCTCCGAGGGAATGTCATCTGTGAGGCGGCGTCAACGTCGGCGTCGGCGTCGGCGTCGACTTCGGCGACGTCGTCGCCGCAGTCGTCGTCGGCGTCGACGTTGAGGACGGCGTCGTCGTCGACGTCGACGTCGACGTGGTGACCCAGTGGCTCGTCCTGCGGCCAGCTTGGCGGCCAAGGCTGCGGCGTCGTGCGAGGCAGCTCTGAACCCGCGTGCAGTGCGGCAGCAACGCGTCGGCCGCAGCTCAGGCGGCTCGACTTTGGCGGGCTCGGGCCTCGTTCCCGACTCGGCTCCTGCGACCCCTGGAGATCCCGATCGTTCTCCCCGCGGGCCGAACACTTCTCCCAGGCCTAGAGGACAGGATAAAATTGCAAAAATAAGTGTTTGGAAACCTGCGCGGATTTCTCGGATCTGTCCTGGGCCCCCCTGGCGGCGCTTCCGGCGCCGCCCCTGGCGTGCTCCACGCGCCAGGGAGGGGAGTCAGTGCAGATCCAAGAATTCCGAGCGTGCCTCCTAAAATTTGTGATGATGCCGTTTGCTTTTCCTCTGGAACCTTCTCCTGATGGCTCCGGGGCGCAGAAACGGCCCCCTGGACGCCCAGTGTATTGGGGTGGGGGGAGCTCGGGAGCAACGTCAGGGGGGGATAGGCTCATGTCGGGCCTGTCCCTCTACAGGGTGACTATCCAAAAGTAGCCAAACAATAGTGTCTGGGGACTATTTTTCTACCATGTGTGACCAGTTTTGAAGTATTGTTTGGGGGTATTTCTAATTTTTTGTTCAAAATCCTCCTGTAGGGGGACAGGCCCGACTTAAGGATAGGCCTGATGGGGGGGGAGCAGCGGCCCCCCCATCGCCCACTGGTCGCCGACAGGGGGCCTGGCAGCCCCCACCCCGCCCAGAGGCGTACGGAGTCGTGGGCGGGGGCCGATCTCTCGGCGATGTGTGGCCGATTCCAGGGGGGAGGAGGAGGAGGAGGAGGAGGAGGAGGAGGAGGAGGAGGAGGAGGAGGAGGAGGAGGCCGATGCTGTCCCCTCCCCCTCCCCTTAGCCAGTCCCCTCCTATCGTTGTGCCCCCCCCAGGAGCTTGTTCGAGTTGCCAGAGGCCCTTGCGGAGCAGCGGCGGCGCAGCATGTCCCGCTCGTCCCCCTTCTGCTGCTCATCCTCATCCTCCTCCTCCTCGCCCTCCTCCTCCTCATCCCCATCCTCTCTATGATCATCCCCTCCTCCTCCTCCTCCTCCTGCTCCTCTTGCTGCTGCTGCTGCTCCTCCTCCTCCTCCTCCTCCTCCTCATCATCATCATCATCAGCATCAGCATCATCAGCATCATCGGCAGCATCATCATCATCATCATCATCACATCATCATCAGCAGCATCATCATCACCATCATCACCACCACCATCATCATCAACATCAGCATCAGCATCATCATCCTCATCATCGTCATCAGCATCATCATCAACATCATCGTCATCATCACCATCGTCATCAGCATCATCATCAGCGTCATCATCACCATAATCGTCCTCACCATCATGGTCAGCATCGTCATCAGGATCACCATCACCGTCATCATGCTCACCATCACCATCATCATCATCATCATCATCAGCAGCACCATCATCATCATCATCATCATCATCATCATCATCATCATCATCATCATCAGCATCATCATCAGCATCATCATCATCATCATCATCACCCCAAACTCCTCGCCCTCTTCTTCTTCCTCCTCCTCCTCCTCCTCCTCCTCCTCGTCCTCCCCCTCCCCCTCCCCCTCCCCCTCCTCTCCCTCCCCCTCCCCCTCCCCCCTTCCTGCATCGCAGCGGAGCAGCCTCGGTCGAGCCCCCGTTGGGCCAGGTGCGCCGTCCTCCCCCCTCGGGGGCCGCCCGCCCGCCGGCCGCGCGCCCGGGCCGCAGGTGGCGCTCCGCGTCCACGCGTGGGGCGGCAGGCCGGGTGCCTTAGCCGAGCTCGATCGGGCTGCCCCGGCCGGGCCCTCCAGCAGTCGGTCCGAGAGCGCTCGGCCAAGAAGCGCCAGAGTTGCTGACGGGAGGCGGAGGAGGAGGAGGAGGAGGCGGAGGAGGAGGAGGGGGAGGAGGGGGAGGAGGAGGAGGGGAGGAGGAGGGGGAGGGGGGAGGAGGGGAGGGGGAGGGGGAGGAGGAGGAGGAGGAGGAGGAGGAGGAGGAGGAGGAGGAGGAGGAGGAGGAGGAGGAGGAGGGGGGAGGAGGGGGAGGAGGGGAGGAGGAGGAGGCGGAGGAGGAGGAGGAGGAGGAGGAGGAGCCCCGGTCGGGCCCTTCCGAGCCCGCTCGGCGGCGGAGCCCGCTCGGCCGCCGAGTGGGCCGCCGAACTCTGCGCCTCCCAGAGGGGCTCCCAGCAGAGGGTGTCGAGGCGTCGCGCCGCCTCGCCGACGCATCGCCGATGCGGCGCGGGAAGTCCCGCGCGAGAGCGCGGTCTGGAAATACATCTCGGGCCGGACGAAAGGGGGGGATTGGGAAAGGGGGGGTTACGAAATTTGCTGCATGCAGCTGATTTCGGCCTCACCGAGGGGCCCATTCCTCGGTACATAGCCGCCTCTGGCGCCGGGAGGCGCCGGAAAAATCAGCTACGTGAGCTGATTCTCAAACCCCCCCTTTGCTATCCCCCCCTTTCGCCCGACCCGAACATCTTGAGGAAGAATCAGGCGGGAGCCGTTGCTGTTATTGCATTTCGGGGCCCCACAGTGCGGTTTGAGGAGGAACCTTTTCCCCGAGAAAAACAGGGTGCAGGCCCAGGGGAGGGCACTTCAATTGAAAAACCCATCTGATTGGAGGGGGGCCAACAATAATTATTCAGTAGCGAGAGTTCATGAACAACAAGAACAAGAACAACAACAACAACAACAACAACAACACTATGTTCATCAACAACACCAACACCAACAACAACACCAACATCACCACCAACAACAACAACAACGACAACGGCAACAGTAACAACAACAGCAACAACAACGGCAGCAGCAACAACAACAACAACATCAACAATCATGTTACGACTGTTCGCTCCTATCTGGCCGCGTGCCATTCAACATATATATATATATATATGTATATCCCAGATCCTCGGTACCCGCCTTCCTCGTCTTCGATCGTGCCCTCATGGTGTATATTTGTGTCACCTGCAGCGTGTATGTCGTGCAACCCCTAAGGCAGGGGAAGAGAGGCGCATAGGACAGGCGGGTTGCTGAAACGTGAGTCCTGCACGAATCGCGAGGAAGTCCCCGGCGATAGCGAAATTGCCAATCAAATCGTGAGGAAATCCACAGCGCGGGCGTGGCTCCTGAGTGTCGAGGGCGCGGCGTCTAGATTAAATTGCGGGGAAGTCCTACGCGGGGGGCGCGATTCCTGCATACATTGTGAGGAAGTCCCGCGCGAGAGCGCGATGTGGGAAAATATTGTGAGGAAGTATCATGCAGGAGCCTCTGTTGTTGTCAACCAGGTGCCAGGGGCACAGTTTGGTGACACTTCGCTTTCCCTCGTAGAAAACAGGGTGCGAGCCCCGGAAGAAGCATTGAAATTGAAACATACAATAGTTATTGGGCAGGTGGGATCAACAACAATATTTGTTGGGGAATCACAGTTCAACAACAAACAACACCAACAGCAATAATCAACATAAGGAACACAAGCAACAACACATACAGCAACAAACACAATTATAGCAGCAGCAACAACAACAGCAACAGCTACACCCATTTCAATATTGTTCGTTCTTATCCGCTCGCGTTCCATTCAGCATGTATATCCCAAGCCCTCGGTACCCGCCCTCTTCGTTTTCGATCGTACCACCTCGGGGGTATACATCTTTCTTATTTGCAACGTGTATTTCGCGTAGCCCCTAAGGCAGGGGAAGAGAGGACGGATGGACGGAAGGGACAAGGGACAGGCAGGTTGCTGAAGCGTGCGTCTTGGATAAATCGCGAGGGAGTCTCGCGCGATAGCGCGATTCTTAAACACATCGTGGGGACACCCACAGCGAGAGCGTGACTCCTGAAGTTCGAGGGCGCGCATGAAGAACTTGCGAGGAAGTCCCACGCGAGAGCGCGATTCCTGCATACATTGTGAGGAATTCGCGCGAGAGCGCGATTTGGGAATACACTGTAAGGAAGTCAGGAGCCGCGTTTGTTGTCAACCTGGGGCCAGGGGCACAGTTTGGTGGCACTTCATGCTCCCTGGTATTGAAAACAGGGTGCGGGCCCCGGGACAAGTATTTATATGGAAACATGCAGCGGTTACTGGGACGGGGTGATCAACCATGATTGTCCTGTAGAAATGAGACTTCAACAACACCAACAACAATCATTTTAAGGCTTTTCGCTATCATCTGTTCGCGCGCCACTGCGCATGTATATCCCAAACCCTCGATACCCGCCCTTTTCGTCTTCGATCGTACCCCCTGGGGGATATCTGTCTTACCTGAAACGTGTGTGTGTGTGTCGTGCAGCCTCGAGAAGGCGGGGGAAGAGAGGACGGATGGAACAACAAAACAAAAGGGGGAGGGAGGAGGCTGGAGCATAAGAGAGAGAGAGAGAGAGTAGCAGGAGGGGGGCTACGAGCGGAAAGTACGTGGCAGAACCAAACGGGCAGATCGGGCGGGTAGACTCTAACGGGCGGGTCGGGATTGCAGGCCCAGACGGCCAGGTCGAGCAGGCGGGTTGCTGAAGCGTGCGTCCTGCATGAAGCTCGAGGAAATCACGAGCGATAGCGCGATTCCAAAATAAACTGTGAGAAATTCACAGCGAGAGCGTGATGCCAGAGTGCCGAGGGCGCGGCGTTTGAATAATTCGCGCGGAAGTCCCACGCGAGAGCGCGATTCCTGCATATATTGTGAGGACATCCCGCACGAGAGCGCGATTTGGGAACACATTGTGAGGAAGCATCAGGCGGGAACCGTTGTTGCTGTAATCCGGGGAACAACAACAGCAACAACAACGAGAACAACAGCACCACCACAACAACAACAACAACAACAACAGCAGCAGCAGCAACAACCATATGTTAAGCATGGTCGCTCTTATCTGCGCGCGTGCCACTCAACACGTATATCCCGAACCTCCGATACCCGCCCGATTCGCTTTCGATCGTGCCCCGCTTGGGGGGTATATCTTCTCCTTCCCTGCTGGCCGGGCCCCGGCAAGCGGCGGGGCGGCCGCGGGCCGTCGGCATGGCCAGCGGCAGCTCTGATCGGCGGCAACCCGAGCCCGAGAGGGACGCGACCGCGACGACGACGACGACGAGCGAAAGCGAGAGCGAGAGCGACAGCGACAGCGACAGCGGGGCCACGAAGGGCAGGAAGGGGGCCACAAAGGACGACAGCGGGGCCACGAAAGGCATGCGTATGGGGCCACGAAGGGCAGATAGTGCAGGGCCACAGAGGGCAACGACGGGGCCACTGAGGGTAGCAGCGGGGCCACGAAGGGCAGCGAGGGGGCCGCACAGGGGGACAGCGGGGCCACGACGGGCATGTGCATGGGGCCGCGACGGGCGCGAACGAGCGGGGGCCACGAAGGCATTCGCACATTGGGCCGCAGAAGGCAAGGGCGGGGCCACTGAGGGCAGCAACGGGGCCGCGAAGGGCAGCGAGGGGGCCGCGAAAGGCGACGGCGGGGCCACGAAGGGCATGCATATGGGGCCACGACGGGCGCGAACGAGCGGGGGCCACGAAGGGCATGCGTATATTGGGCCACGAAGGGCAGCGAGGGGGCCGCGAAGGGTTGCAACGGGGCCACGAAGGGCAGCGAGGGAGCACGAAGGGGTGCAACGGGGCCACGAAGGGCACCGAGGGGGCCACGAAGGGCTGCAACGGGGCCAAGAAGGGCAGCGAGGGGGCCACGAAGGGCTGCAACGGTCCACGAAGGGCAACGAGGGGGCCACGAAGGGTTGCAACGGGGCCACGAAGGGCAGCGAGGGGGCCACAAAGGGCTGCAACGGGGCCACGAAGGGCAACGAGGGGGCCACGAAGGGCTGCAACGGGGCCACGAAGGGCAGCGAGGGGGCCACGAAGGGCTACAACGGGGCCACGACGACGAAGGGTTGCAACGGTCCACGAAGGGCAACGAGGGGGGTACGAAGCGCTGTAACGGGGCCACGAAGGGCAGCGATATCCCGATTCCTAAGTAAGCTGTGAGGGAGTCCGAAGCTTAAGCACGACTCCTGGGTGCCTGAGTGTCGGGAGCGCGGCGCTTGAGTAACTTGCGGGGAACTCCAACGCGATTCCTGCGTAAATTGCAAGCGAGTGTCCAGCGAGAGCGCGACTCCAGAGCGCCGAGAGAGCGATTCCTGAATAGAGTGTAAGGAAGTCCCAATCGAGAGCGCGATTCCCGAGTAAAATGCGAGGAAGTCTCCGGCGGGTGACTACGTTGTGAGGAAGTCTCAGGCGGGAGCTGCTGTTGTTGTTGCTGATGTAATCCGGTGTCAACAACGCAGTTTTAACCGAGTGACTTTCGTGATGAAACAGGGTGCGGGCCCCGTGGGAAGCATCTCGACACAAAAAGCACAACGGTTACCAACATCAATTCTGCAGTCGTGATCAACCAACACCAACCACAACAGCAACAGCAGCAGCAGCAAAAACAACAACAGCAACAACAACACCAATAAAGCAACAATCAGTTTAAACAGGGTCGCTCTTATCTGCTCGCGCGCCTTGCACACGTATATCCCAAATATTCGGTGCCTGCCCTCTTCGTCTTCGATCGTACCCCACTTGGGGGTATGGTTTTATTGCCCCCCACTTGGGGGTATGGTTTCATTGCCTGCGACGCGTATTTCGTGCAGCCCCTCGCAGGGGAAGAGAAGACGGATGGAAGGACGGGGACAAGGAGAACGGAGGAGGAGGGAACGCGAGAGAGAGAGAGAGAGAGAGAGAAAGAGAGAGAGAGAGAGACAAAAAAGAGAGAGAGAGAGAGAGAGA